TCCTGTTTATTCGCAGGCGCTTCACAAATATGTATTTCACAGGCTGGATGATAGGAGTCTTTGAGCACAGCGTTGTTTAGCATGTAAGTAGAAAAGTACAAGATGCATTTTTTTGCGGGGGGGGGCTTGTTTAGTGTTGCGGAATGAGTGTGCGTGGGCTTCCTGCTATGCCACTGTCTTTCTGTTTGCTTTCATGTTAGCGCAACTAAGAGAGGATTGACGGGGTGGGGGTGGGGGGGGCAAGGAGGCAAATCGTAATTACAATTTCCACTCTCGTTAGTCAGGTGACAGGGAACAATCAATGGTAAGGATCTGCCTCCAATACGAGCACGCGGCGAGATCATTTGCCTTTTAAGTGGGCAGGGACTGGTAGTGGAAATTGAATTAAGATATTTATGACAGCAATTAATCACCTCGCTGAGAGACCTGCCGCAGATTTATTGTTCTTACAAAGACATGCACAACCGCAGTCATGCGAAGAAAAGAAAATAAATCCAAAGACCGAAGCTGCGCATTTGGTAAAACTCTCATTTAAGAAGCGCTCCCTGGTGTTTCTGACTAGTGTCATGTTCGTTTGCGTGAATTCATGGTGCTACATGTGCTCTAACGAGCAAAATCTCTGCTTGATTCTTTGCTCGGCGATGAGGAGAAGATCAGCGATTCAAGGCTGACATTACATAAAACAATAAAACAAAAATATGAACCTCAGGTGCTTCAAACCACGGCACCTAATGATCTTGCTTTTCTGTGGGGTCTTGTGGTGTCTCGGTGCCCTCGGAATCATATGACATTGGTAACGTTAGACGTTATTCCTTCCATGGTGCTTGTGCTGCTAGTCAAATAATAGTAAATTAAACGAGCAAAGTGCTGTGAAAAACTCCTCAAGAGATGCACAGTTGATAAAGGCAACATGAAAAACGTTAAATAAGAACAAGTGTTTTCAAAGTTAGAAAACAAAAGGGGAACGGTGGCTCGAAAGTCATGCAAAGCACACAGAAACATATAAAGCAGAAGAATCAAAAGCGCCTATTAGTTAGCAAATGCAATCGAAAACAACAAACGCAGAATAGGAAGAAAGGAAGAGATAAGCCACTGGGAAGTGTTTATAAAAGGAGAAAACCGTTTCATCCCCAGGATCATTTAAATGTAACTAAAAACCAGAAGACCACAAAAGGGGGCGACGTCTAAAAATCCGGCATGAATGTTCCGAGCAGCGAGCGCTCAGGTCTTCAGCGAGGCTCTTCCACAGACGTGGGCTGTCTTGTAATATCAGAAAATGGCCTCACTGTGGTTTTCGCTTCTCTCATTATCATTAAAAGGTGGAAACCGGATCACCTGAGGGCCATCGAGAGCTCCGGGTCTTCACAAAAAGATTCTGCAGTGTACCAATGCAGGTTTCTATTGGAATCGTCTGTTCCAGGGTCCAACTAGCACCTTCAGAAAACTTTCAACAGTGTAAATGCACACGGATCAAATATTAGCAAAATGGCTTTTGACAAAAACACTGTCTTAGCTTTCACGACAACTCCCACATAATCTCCGGGTACGCGGCAGCCTTTCAGGTCGCTTTGCAGATTCACATCAAACGTATTTCTTTTTTCTCCTACATTTCCAGAACAGTTTCATTTAAGATTCTAACTCGGGGATGTGCAACTTAGATGCTTGAGTGAGACCGCATAGGACCTCCCACTTCCTAACCAGATGTATGATAAAATTTCTATTTGAATATGGACAAAATATATGCGTACGAGCAAAATACCTGCGCTTGATAGATTTCATTTTTGATCATACATTTTCCAATGCATGTATAAAAAAACCGGCTGTCCAATCACAACAGCAAAGGCTTTGAAGCATCCAACAAAATAACCACAGCCTGTATTTTTTTTTTCCCCTAGTGCAAAGGGATGTCTTGCATCATAATTAGTATTCAAGAATGGCACGAAACTGCTAAATGTGAATGTAAATATGTGCAATATGGAATAACCAAACTTGCAAATGCTCCCCTGCAAAAAAAAACAACCCAAAAACTGGTGCTCAGCTGTGCCCTGTTGATATGCTGCCCTACATCCCACCACCTGCCCCGGGCTTGTTAACAAGGTGCCCGTAGCAATGATTGCCTGGCCATCAAAATCCCCGCTGATAAGTTCCTCTGGGAGGGAGAAGGGCTCTGTCATTGAATTCACCCTGATCAGCCCCTGACGCCGTACATTGGAGATAGCACACATCCAAACTTTACTCAACAACTGTGTCACGCCCCCCGTGATGATTATTTTCTGTCGAATAATTCAGACATGGTTGCTCCGATATCAATGTGACTCCAAATTTTTTTTTTTTTTTTAATGCAAAATGATGTGGCGCTAGCCTTGTTGTCAAGAGGCGAGACTCCTGTCACATCCAATGATGCAAGGCCCAGGAATGATATTGGCTGATTGATTGAAGCGTCATTGCTCAAAGGGTGAGGGACACGCTGACAGCCTGGTGATTGACACAGATGAGAGAGAGAGAGAGAGAGAGAAAGAGACGAGCTAGCAGGCAAGAGGACAGGATGCTGTAACAAAAGCAAGTTAAAGAGCAAGCCGATAAGGACCTGGATGGGCTGAGATAGCGACAGATGGTTGGTGGGGGATGTGGGAAGAGAGAAGTCAGAAAAAAGGGATCATCTTTTCTTTCCCGTTCAGTTAATCACAAGTTTGTCGAGAGCTGTAACGCGACAGATGAGGGGACGTGTGGAGAAAGGGTGCGGAATCTTCCCCCCCAGCTGCACCCTAACTTCAGTCATGCCCTGTGAATTGCTGACAGGAGCTGACATTGCCAAAGAGAAGAAATGTCACCAGCAAAACTTAATGCACGGCCTTGGATGGAAATTATGCCTCTGATGTGAAACAAAATGCCTGCACTATATACGGTGCTATCAGAATTTCCTGGGCTTGGGTTCGGATTCTCAATGTCAATGAAGGTTTCTGCCAGTGAGCTTCTCTCTCCAATCGGGTATCTCTTCAAATCTTGCTTCTACCGCCTCTTTGTTTCACACAGCTCTCCATGCAGGTTGCAACCGCCCGGCCCAAGTGTTCTTCCATCGCTCACGTTGCCGCTGACGCATATGCGCCGAGGACTTGAATGTCCATAAGCAATAATAGTTTATCTAATATTGCTGAAATGAGTTCTGGTATTGTTTTGGCTCATAGGCAGTTGCCACCACAAGCCTAAGTTCAGGTTCCCCGGCAGGGGTGTCCTAGCTTTGCATTTTTTATTGCTGTTATTTTGATTTCAATTCGACTTTTGTTGTTCAACTTCAGTTTTTGAAGCAGTTGTGCTAGTTTTCATTAGTTATTTTTTTTAATGCTTAATTTTAATTTAGATATTCAGGTGCGAGATAAAAAAAAGTGTACAATAAATTCTGTGTAATACAATAAATTGTGTGTGTGTGCGTGAAATTGGCTTGTGCCCAATCCAGGGTGTACCCCGAATCTCGACCTAACATCACCTGGGATAGGCTTCAGCACAGCTGAAACCCTTGCTAGGATTAGAGGGGTAGATGGATATTCCCCTTTTGCAGTTGGCCACAAACTAGTTTCCACACCTCTACATAATAACTAATTGGAACACCCGCCACCCCGGTCTGCCAAAGCCCTGATGTCCCCGTGAGGTTGCAGAGGCATGTCAACCAGGACAGCCTTTAGGGACTCCAGGCTGATCTGCCACCGAAGAGGAGCTCTTTAACCACCTCGGTGACCTCAACCCCCGAGGCGGAATAGCCCAGACTCGGCTTCCTCCTACGGGCCTGTCACAGGGATTGAGAACTTTTAAAGCCTTGTCTCGACTGACTCACAACATCCCGATGTCTGCAAACATGAATATTTTGATGTTAAGGTAATATGGCACACGGCCATGCAGATCATGACCTGTCAAATTCGTAAGCACATGTTGCTGAAATACTCCCCTGGTCTGTTTTATCTTAAATCAAGCAGACTGATTGATGCGTGACATTTGGATTTGGTGTCGGATTTCTCTGCGGGGCTCGCAATGTGAGAGTGACACGCTGAAAGAGCGAGTCAAAAGTGCCTGACAGATACAAGAAAGTGCCCGAGCATCAATGGCTTCCATCGGTACCGACGTACCAAGTGACGGATCAAAGTACAATCTTAATCCAACTCATTAATTAAGCATGACAAGGAAATGAAAATAGTTTGGCAGTGTCTGCGCTGCAGTCGGAAGTCCTTGACAAGCATTTCTTTTATGAAGTGTTGAGCGCATTTTGTCATGCCATGACATTTATCGCACAGTAATGCAAAACAGAAGAAATGGGGATCGTTTTTGTTCCCGTGCAGCTTATAGAAGTGAGAAATAATACCGGGGTCATTATAGTGGTATAAACGGATACGTTCTGGGCCTTGTCGTGCCCTTGTGCTCGTGAAATGTGATTGCTGCTCTGTTAATGGATCTGTCATACCCTCTTGTCTTTGCGTGTCCTTACCTGTCTATGAAGCTCCACTTTTAATTAACCGAGTGCAATGATTCAACTTTTAACTCCGTTATCTTTATCTTTGTCTCTCAGGGTGTTCAACTCTCTTGCGAAAGCCGAATGAGGATCGCTGCGGGAGGATTGGAATCAAACAAAACGAATCAGCACACCCGGAGAGACAGACGGACATATTCGGTAGTGTAGGAAAATACAGGTGACTGATACCTAGTGAAGGGCATAGATTGAAGGACTGACAGGTGGGGCATGAGAACCGAGAAAGTGGAAGAGAGAATGAAGACAGCTGGAAAACAAGGCCTGCCTCACAATAAAGCCTGCTCCAATTAGGACCTCTCGCGACGAGACAAGATGATGACAAGAAATCTGCTCCTATTGGTTTCCTTCTGCCTGTGGGACGGGCTGTGGGGCGGGGCCTTGCTCAGCAAGGTTGTGCGAGTGAGAGGAGGAGGCGGCCCGCATATGATGAAAATAGAGGAGAGCAGAGCTCCGGACCAATGGGAGGGAAGCCTGGACGCCAATGCAATGCCTGTAGTGACTCTCAGGAACCTGATAAGTCACGCACAGGCGGGTGACGGCGGAGCTCTCGCTCGCAACAAAGCGCTGCCCAATCACGGCACTCCATCGGCTGCCATCAAGGAGAGGCTGGCTGTCAAGCCCAAGCGTGAGGTCGAGTCTGTCAACAAGAAGCAGGTGACCCTGCGCAGGGATTTAAGTCAGGATTTCAAGAAAATGAAGAACAATACTAAGAATGTTGAGACGAAGATAGGAAAAGCAATCCCATCGCACCGTAAGCTTGATTTACATTCCAATAAAACCCGCATCAGATTAAGTTCAAAAGCCAAAAGCAGACCTGAGTTGAGTGTTTACGCAACAGGAGTGCCAGGAAAGGGCGGAAGCATCGAATCAAACCACAAACTGAACCTCAGTGGAAGTTACGAGGTTCTGAAAGTGCTGTCAAAAGAGAACCTGGTGAGAATAGTCAATTCCCAAATGCAGAATGTTCCCATTCTGAACTTTCCCGGCAAGGGTAGCCGGAGCCGAAAGAGAGATTTGATTGACGTTAACCACAGACAATTAGAGGCGCCGAAATCGTCAAGACAAGAGTCGTCCATCACTCAGTCACACGCTGTTTTTGATAATCAGACTGCAATCCCGTATCTAAATCCCATCAGCACTCCGGATCTTAATCGGGACCAGAGCTCTGACACTCATGTTAATCCGATGGCGAATGCCGCAGGTCTCAGTAAAGGGCAAGATGTTTTGGCGCTACAATCTTCAGACGATGGCGACAGCAAGAACCAACGTACCCCAATAGTATCAACACCTCTTGAAAAAATAAACCTCAGCTTGGACAAAGAGACGTCGGTCAACCAAACAGAATCCCCTCTTCAATTGACAAAACGTCTCCCGCTGCATGTTCCCTCCCAAACAAACGGCCCCACTCCATCTGCGCTGACAATGCAACCCCAGGGAATGCGACCTGGAAACAGAACAGCAGATTCCCACAGAGACCTATTAGCAGAGTCGGCTCACGCTGCTCAAACGGAGCTCAGCACGTTTCGCTACTCGCTAGATGAAGACAGAAATCTTGTCAACGGCAGCCATGTCCTGAGGCTCCATCCGGCTCCGGAATGGAGCCACTCAGCCAAAGGTGCCGGGGTGCAGGTGCACCACCCGCACAATGACAGCGGCCTCGTGTTTGAGGAAGCGGAGTCGGAGGACGAGGCTGGCGATCCCTCCGAAGACAAGAGGTCACGCTCTCGCAGCAGGAGAAGCTGGATCTGGAACCAGTTCTTTGTGATTGAAGAATACGCTGGACCTGAACCCGTGCTCATTGGCCGGGTAAGTCACATATCACTTACATGCGATGATCTTTCTGTGAATATTTTCTTCATGTATAAGGATCCTTTCTATTACAAAAAACCTTACATGGAACATTTTTAACTTCCGGTCCCCTTCAAGTCCTTCTCTTACACGATGTGTTTTGCATAATCCAAACCAGGCATATTTTTATTTACATTTATTTTTAGGCATTGTTATAAACTTGCAATTGGAATTGATTAACGTTGCTCCAGCGTAATGCTGTGCCTTCGAGGTAGCTGTAAAGCCTTCAATGAATCAATGGTTAACTGAGGTGCAAGAAAATCCCAAGATTCCATCTGACCAAGGGGCTGGTCATGATCACAACCAATCTGCTCCCGCCTTGGGAGATTGACGTATCCACAGGAACGACTAGCCAGACTTTGCCTCTTTCAACATTGATCGACACCCTCAAGGCAGAACTTACAAGAGTGTTCCTTCATTTCTCCGCATGTCACTTCAAGTCCCTCATGGTCACAGGTGATGCTAAAGCTATTTCATTGGCAGTGATCTACGCTTATCAATACATCCTCAGCGCAACAAAAAGTGGCCCATAGTCATGTCACTCGTCTGTGGAATTTATTAGTTACTGACTGGTCACGTGTGCTCCCTGTGCCTAATGCACTCTCGCATTCAAGAGGCAGCCACAGACTGACAATGAGGTCGCGACAACCGCTACGGAAGGTGTTTTTAAGTGGAGCGGGTTTCCGACGTTGATATCTCAGCACCCAGCTACCCAGCTGCAGTACAGTAGATGAGCTAATTTGTGAGCCGATGAGGTTATTTTGCTGAGCAAATGAATAATAACGAGGCCCGTGTCACTGCTGCAGGCCGTTTTAAACTTCACAGTAGGAAGTCACAGCGTGTGATGGCTGGATGGAATTGATGGGCCCACTACCCAAAATGTGTTGATTCCAAGATTCATTAAATGTCGACACGATGCAAGCTTCGTGGATAACCTACACCGATAACCAATAAATAATGGATGGATGGCTGGATGGAATTGATGGGCCCACTACCCAAAATGTGTTGATTCCAAGATTCATTAAATGTCGACACGATGCAAGCTTCGTGGATAACCTACACCGATAACCAATAAATAATGGATGGATGGCTGGATGGAATTGATGGGCCCACTACCCAAAATGTGTTGATTCCAAGATTCATTAAATGTCGACACGATGCAAGCTTCGTGGATAACCTACACCGATAAGGCCGCAGAGTCGCGAATGCTATTAGGCTATCTTTCCATTTCAGAAAGCTGCTATAACTATCAGAATAATCAGTTCCAGTTCATGAATGAGAAAGTGTGCTTTGGGGTCCACAGTTTAAAAGTTGAACGAAGTTATGCTGGGCAGCACCAGAGCCACGGCGTCCGTCTGTGCCGAATGCGCATTTCATTCTGGTGGTGCACCGTTCCTGCTTGACTATTTGATTTTACGATGTCTTTGGGAATGAATGAGTTTTAATTGTCCAGCTGTCTTTCACATAAAAACCAGGGATGAGCAACTTTATGTCACGGGCGATTCATGTTTGATCCATGTTTTTGTTCTTGATGAAAGGCAATGCTTCAAATGATGAGTTTCTTCACAGGAAGGCGCAGACTGAAACAACGATATCGCATTTCTGGACAATATTTGAGACGTTCATCATGTCGTGCAAAGACACCAATTTCAATAACATATGATGCACTCCAAATGAAACTGTCACGGTTAGTCAAAGAGTCTCAGCAATGATCACTGCGGACTCCCCAGAAAAGTGCCCAGCAGCGAAAGCCGAGGGGCACAGTAACTGGGGAAAGAACACGATAATCGATCACGACAAACTGGAGCTGAGTCACATGGCTTGCACCGAGTTGGTGTTATTGGTGAGCATGTCTCGAAGGGGATCTCTGGATCGTACATTTCCAGCAGCGCGGCTTGCGCAGTGCGGTTGCGGCTGGACAACCGGTGTCTTACCTCGGGTGTTTTAGCCATTTTTGAGTATCCTTCATCTTCCCCCGTTGACAGAGGGACCATGTCGTTTGTATGACACCCTTACAACGCGTCACTTTTCGTAAAGCCCAACGCAGGTGAACAAACATGGCAGCGAGTTTTCATTTTCTCTCCCAGAAACCGTTGTTCTTCACACGTAGACACGCAGGTAGGTTGAGGGAACAAAGAGTGAAGAACGGAGCAAGAGCAGCAAGGCAGACATTTGCACAGCTCTCCAGGGGAACCAAATTTCCTATTTTAAGTGCAACTTATTATCGGTATACTGATACGAACAATATACTAGGCTCGTCCTTGAAACTAAAGCATATGTAACTCAATTGTCGGATTGCTAAAGGGCCATTTATTTGCGGGTTGATGACAATTTCTTTCCAAGGCCGATTTCCCGGTCTTTCGAGGCACAATTGCTGAGATAAAACAAAACAACAAATATGACGGAGCGCCTCGGATCGGCTGCCCCGAACCGCACGTTGTGAAGAAGATGCAATCGCGATCGACACATTTGACAGTTCGCCCTGCGTGTACGACCATTTGTCCGCCCCTGTGAATGTATTTCGGCCCGTCCCATGTTACTCGGGGAGGGAACAAAGCCAGACCGCACACCCGCGCCCATATTATGATGCTGACATTTGGAGTGCACCCAGATCACTATTATGCAGCAAATTCTGGGCTGGAAATGCATACGATTAGACCCGCTTGTATTCGACAGTGATGGCACACAAGAGAGAATAATGCTCTTAGAAATCCTATTATGCTTATGATTTTTTTAATCTCCTGATCTGCATCCGTGTAGGCCGGCCGGCACTATAGGTAAGGAGATCAATGTGAACGCTCCGCCTTGTTTTTGCCCCATTAGAGACCTGATTATGTTTTCAATGAAAAGATGGGCAGTGTTTAAAAACTCCACTTTGCACGAAAGGCTCCACCAATCGCTAGTAACTCATACATGTGCTGTCACCTCTTGCGTTTACTCCACGCTGGGTGGTACAGGAATACAATTCTTGTGCGCGCAGAGGTTGTAATTTTATTTTTATGCGGGACTCTTTGGAAAATCTGCACTCTAACATTGAATTATGGCCTCTTTGTGTGATCCCGGCAAATTCGGTTTGGATAAATCTCTCAAGCCGGAAACGGGAGCCAAGGCTATAATCTACGATGTCAATAGAGGACAAACGCTCCCTTCTAAACCCAAAATGATCTAAGGGCTACCTTTGTGGAACCAGTGACAGCCCTGAGCATAAATTTTAAAGAGTACTTCCTCTGCTTTCACTGTGTTTTAAAGTACAATAAAAAATGGATGTGAAAACGAAAAGAGGCAGCCGCTAAGTCATAAGACGTTCTGCCGAGCGCCCCTTGACATGTCCTTCAAGGAGCGAGTGTTTGTGGATGGCGAAATGTTGCTTCAAGACAGTTGCTCAGGTTCACAAGAATTGTGCAAACAAGCAATTACTGGCATTTCTCAGCAACGCGCTCAAATTGTGTCTTACGCAACCCCCTCCGCAGAACCGCTCTGAAATACTTACATGTACGAGACTCATGTTAACACACCCGTACATTCACAGATGATGCTGTATTTACTCACACCGAAGCATCTCTACCCTCTAATTGTGAATTTAATTGATGCTGTCACATGGTCTGCAAGGGAGTTTCAAGTGATTGCAGCAGCTTTGCGTCCGGGGGAGAAAAAAAATACTGTTGGGGCAAAAGGCGCCTGAGCAGCGATGGGTTGAACAAGAGCATTCATGTCTGATCAGCCGAAATTCTTTTCTTGCGGTGCGTATGCGTCACGCCCCACGTGCAGGGTTTGCCTTACGACATAACTAGATTTGACCTTGATGAAAGCGCATCCATTGCAACGAGCAAGTAATTGGTTCCATGTAATGCCACAAAACTGCAACAAGACCACCTCACTTATCATAATCAATATCTTCAACACGCTTATTTAAGTCTCTCTGAAATAACTGGACAAGATCTACATCCATGACCACGGCGTCTATAGCATTTTCTCCAGGGTGCGGCACTTGTTTTGTTTATATTACAGTACACATATGTGATCGTCACCTTTTTTTCATCGAGCGCCCATCAAATACTCCTGATATGGTTCGTGTTAACCGGTTGACCACCATGTTTGGGACGTTAGCTTAAACAGAAATAAAAAAAGAATACACTGATTTGCAAATCATGTTCAAAGTATTTTAATTGAATACAAGATAGTTCATGTTCAAACTGCTCAACTTTATTGTTTTCAGCAAATAATCATAAACTTGGACACGCACAGCTGGAAGAAGACTTTTCGCCTTGTTGGCCTGACATTCTCACTGCCGCACAACAGATTGCATGATTGTTCAGTGTCAGCAGCCAATGGACGAATCAAATGTCCTCTGAAAATTAGATGGCGAAATGACCCACCCCAAAAAAAAAAAACCAAAAAAAAACATGATTATCATTGAATCGACCTCAAGAGTTAAATGTCGATGCGCAGTAGTAAAGTTGACGAGTCAGTAAATTGGCCCAACTCGTGAGAAGCTCCGCACACTTGTCAGCATTCTGTCAGACCAGTACTGTTCACGCTCAGGGATAATGTCCGGATTGTTCTTCCATGTGATTGTACGGTCGTATTCACTTTGAATGATCGGGTGTGAGGGTGGAGGTCGCTTCAGTCAAAGTTCACCTCATTACGCGATCCATCTCTTCAGGATCCATTTTGAAGCTATCCCAATCAATGTTTTCTTTTTTTTCTTTGCTCGATGTCAAAGGGTGACAAAGTCAGTCAGCTTACTTTGTCACCCTTTTAACTATTGTCACAGTTCTCCATGTGTGGCACCTCGAGGTGCAATGTGCAATTGCATAATAGTATGAAAGCGTTCAGGAGGTTGGCGACGTGATGTAAGAAAGTGAAAGAGGCTGTCACATAAAGTTAAGTACGTTTTCCTCTGCTCATTCTTCGTGAAATCACACAAAGACTGTATCTCTTCAATTTATGCATCATAT